GCTTGGCTGGCAGGAGCCCCTTCCCCGCAGCCACGCAAGCCCCCCACCCCACAAGGAACCACCACCAGGGTCATGCTGCAGACATCCCTTTGGCAGCACTCGTGCTCGCCGAAGCTTCTGATGCTGGGCAGACCACAGAGAGATGGTTAGTACCACTCTAGGTACAAGCTGATCCCTTGTTTTCATGCATCTTTAGCTGTGCTGGAGATAGATGGAGTGCGTGCGCTCGGAGGGTCGGCCATCACCCTCCTCCCCAAGACCAGCACTGCGCTCCAAGGCGGTGGCCGCAGTGTTTCGAGGGGAAAGTCACCTCCAAAGCCAGCCTGTCCCCTGCCACTATGGGGCTGATGCTCTCTGATGCGGTCCTGCCAGCTGGGAGGCTCCCCAAGACACAGGTGCAGTGTGGTCCCGCTGGCAATAACAAGCAGTTGGCTCTTCTGGGCAAGGACTCCTGTGCCACCGCTGCCGGCTCACCCGCGCTGGCAGGTCAGAAGGGGCCGTAGGGTGGTCACTGGTGGCATCGCGGATGGATGGACCCCATTCCCTTTTTATTCGGGGCCAAGGGACACATTGGGGCAGCGCTGCCCCAGGTGCAGCGGGGTGGCTGCAGAGGGAGCCCAGGGATCCCTGGCGGTGCCCTGGGGCTCTTTTGGGGGAGTATTGACAGCAGGAGATAAAAAAGGGTTTCCAAAACAAACGGTGGGAGACCTTTATTGCAATCTTCCTCTTGCCTCAGAAATGTGCACTGTTTTGGCACTCATTGCGTTTGTATTTTTGAAGTCCCAGTGGAAGACACTGTATAAAGCCAGAATAAGACAGTTTAATCTGCAGAAGTTTTACAGGGGACAAAAGAGAAATCCCATAAAGGGAGGATGCAGGAGACTGCGTTACTATATTTTTACTGCAGGGTGACAGAGGCAGAGGCGCAGATCCAGCAATGAGGAAAAGCGCCAGCACGGTCCCGCAATGCCTGACCGCGACCTGGATACCATTGCCCAACCACAGGAGAAATGTCAGGAACCACAGCTGAGGTTTCCTGATGCCTGGTCTGGTGTCTCTATCACAGCTCGAGAGGCATACGCGTTGGTTGCTGTTATTATGCTTTCAGGTGACTTTTGTCATTGTATCATCTGAGTTTTAGTTTGTTGGTTTTGGTTTTTTTTTTTTCCCCTAGTTGACACAACCCTGTATGCCAGCCCTTAGCAGCCCAAGGTCCTCCTGCCCCTCGCTGGGGCTCGGGAACATCGCAAGGTGTCAGCCACCAGGAGCCGTTTTGCAGGAGGCAGCCTTGATAACAGCGGTATTATTCACTCCCTCTATTCATCCCTGATGGATGGGATCGCAGCACAAGACAAGAATATTATCCTGTTCCCTCTGAATCTATTACCAGGCCCTATTACACACAAGCAGCTGAAGATGATTATAGTGTATACTTGCATTTCATTAAAGTTACTCTCAGTTCTTTCTCTTCTCTGTGAGGTTAAATTAGAGATTACCTCAATGCAGCACTTATTACAATAATTGTTTATGATACTTGTTTTACCATCTGTCTTTAATGCTGTGTAGTCCCCAGCTGAATCTGTAACTTCACACCCACCCGCCAAGCAGATGTTATGGGTAATGGCGCACGCCGTCGGGGTCCTACAGCACAAGTTACTTCTGTCTGTGGTGTCCCAGCCCTTCCTCAAGTCAACCAGCAGCAATTGCTGCCGGAGAGCCTGCTCTTCATAGCTGCTGAGGGTACCAGGCATAAAACCCACCAGCACGGTCACTGAAGCCAACGCCACTCCACACCCGAACATCTCGCTTCCTCTCGCCCTACACTGGACTGACCCAAGGAGTGAAAACTCTCCAGGTGCTACATAGCATCAGTAAAGATGTTCCAAAACTTATGAACATTTTTCTACTAGAAAATGTCAGCCATCAAAAGAAAGATTGTTGAAGATAATAGTCAGGATTTGTAACAGTAGCAAAACGTGACCAGAAAAGTCTATGGCAGCTAGACCATCTGATGTGCCCTGTTGCACAGCAGTTATTACGTGGGATCAGCGGGGAGTGGCTCTTGCAAACATATGGCAATGACATTTTCCTGTTGTTGTTTCTCCCTCTCCAGGGACATGTCAGGCACGATGGTCTCATGGACTGCTGGGACACAGGACCATGGGGTGCTTCGTGAGATGCGTTAGGGAGTGGTAGGCAAAGAGCTCCTCTGCATAGACTCCACTAGCAGGGAGACCATAGCTACACTCCTCCCTCCTTTGAAGGAGGGATGCTCCCTTCCAGATGAGAGAAACTAAGGGAAAATGCAACAGGAGATACAAAGCAATGGCTTAATCCATCCCTTATGTCCATACCAGCAGACAGGAGGAAAATGGGAAGCGCTAAACAGGTAGCACTGGGAAAGGATATACCTCCTTAGCTCTCCCGCGTTCCTGCAGTCAGATAGAGAAGTGCATTGATGTCGTTTACCTCTGAGACAGAGCAGTTGAGCTGGAAGATCTGCCCTTCTCCTTCGACCTGCCGCACGCAGAGTTTGCACACCAGCTCCAGGGTATTCAGGCTGAACCTTTCCAGCGTGAAGGTGCAGTGCAGGTTCCTCTGGCATCCACTCCAGATGTGGTAAAAGGGAATCTCCTGCAGGAAGAAAGCAAAAAAAGTATAGTCAGGGAGGGATGTGGGATGAAGGCGTGGATGCTATGTGACCAGAGCCCGTGGGCTCCACGCTGCTGTCACTGCAAATGGTCCAGGGAAAAACATGTCCAGGGGACTGCAGCCTGGTGGTTTTTAAACACCCCTGTGTGTCACTGTATTTCTTTTAGCCTCACTGCTGGGATCCAGTGTGAACGGTTTGTGCTGCTCACCTGGTATTTAGCCAGCAGTTTGCTCTTCCAGAGAGAGTGGGCAATGTCATGAATGGACAGGCGGAGGTTGTGGGTGCTTCCCTTAAAATGCAAAGCTTTGGGCTCCTCCAAAAGCTGCCCGCCCATCTGCCGCTCGAGCTGGAGGACCTCCTGCAGCGTTGTGATAAAAAGAGGGAAAAATTGGTCAGGTTTCACCAAGACAGCACACCGGTCTTCTGAGCCCTCACGATCGACTGTTGTAGATGCTGTAACTTCTGTAATACAGAAAAAAAATAAATGCGCAGGCATTGCACAGAGTTGTGTTTCCCTGTGAACTGGAATTGCATTAGTGGATCTGGGTATAACCCCCTCACCCCCTTCACCCCAGCAGGGATGCAGGCACCCACGTCCCCTTTGGGAGACACAGTGTTACCATCTGACACATCCTATAAGCCGAAAGCTTAATTGCATGCTAATATATCGAATGCAAAGACTTTGCACTCAGGCACTGTTTGAATACAGAAATATATCAGTCTTCCCCATTGCTCATCAAACCGGGTATCTAACAGTAGCTTTACTATTTTGGTTTTGGAAGCTATTATTTGTGTAGGTCCTGCTGATATGGGACCTGTCCACACCACTGGTCCTTCAGCTTGGGGCCTCCTGGCAATCTGCTCTGTGACGGAGCGGTGCAGGAGGTAACAGACGCCTACGCTGAGGCTAATCGTTACGCAGGATGGTATCAAAACAACGCAAGACACTGCGATGGAGCATTTTGTACATATGAATGCATAAGTTCGGGCTACTGAAATATTGATCTTGTAATTAAAACTACTAAGCCAAGAGTCTGGTCATTTTCTGCAGCTAAAAATAACTATATGCCTGTAACTAATGAGACCACAGTGGACCGTGGCCTACAAACAGCCTAATTGTAGTCCGCGTGGAAGAAGCAAGTACAAAGGCACCTACACGAGCCCCATTAGAAACCAACACAGCCGATAGCTCAGTCATACTTAATCACAAGAGCCAACCAGTCTCAATGGCCAAAGCCGAGTGAGCACGCTCAAGGAGTACGCGGGCACACGGAACCAGGATGCTGCCCCCGGCCAACGAAAGGAGCCTCCGTTTTCGCTAAGCACAAAACAAGCGTCTCTTGATCACGTTCAGGATCTAGTTAGCGTACAAGGAAAGCCACTGTCCCAGCACCTGGCAGATCCTGAAGCTAAAATGATGTTCGTTTATCAGCCATTACAGGAAAAGAAACAACACCAGGAAAGCTTTTAGATTAAGGTTAGACCAATGAATCAGTTCCAGCTTCTTTCCAGTGCCCCCTAATTACTTCATCAAGATGTCTAAAGAGCAATCGATAGTAATTATCTGATTACTGTAGATCTTCATTTTGTCCAAATTACCTCCCTGGAAGGGCCCGAAGACGACTTGCGGCACTGCGTGAGCCAGTTGTGGGACACCACCTCCCAGGCACGCGGGCGCAGGGGCCGAACGACCCCTCCTGCCCGTGCAGCCCCCAGCTCTGGGAACTGCACCACTGCGGGCAAAAGCATTGCAGCGTGATGCTGCAGCATCCTACCCACCAGATCTGCGTGCCAAGGTTCAATACTCCACTTTTGGTGACCAACCTTGGTCACCGGAGCTCCTCTACACGCTCTAACTGGAGGATGCCGAGCAGCCTGAGCTTCTCCCATGCCACTCAGCTAATTAATTCAGAATTAATTTGGAGCCATGATTAGCACAGCACTTCAAACCTGCAGGCTGGCTCTAGCCATACGGCATTTTATTTAGAGCAGCGCTTACCCCTCTGGCTGGCACCTCTGTGCCCGCCTGAGCCAAAACCTGAGCTGCGCATTGCTTGCCCCATGCCATGGTGGCTCTGGCCACCCTACCCACCACCCCTGTGAGCTGGGACTTACACCCTTATGCCCTTCATAGGAGAGGGTAAGGCATCGCTCCGTCGTCAGCGTCACCAGGACAGCCACACCCTGTATTTGGAAAGGTCGTCCTCATTAACGGGGCACGTGCAAGCAATGGCATTCAGTTTAAGCTGTCGCCTTTCCTCATTAGAGGGAAAAACATGCATTAGACAACTTAGAGAAGATCAAGTGACTGTTGTGCCTTTTATTTTTGGTGGGGTTTTTTTGGAGGTGGTTTTTTTTTTTTTTAGAGGACAGTTACTGTGCAGCAGGAG